AACCCCCGAGCAGCCAGGATGTGGTGATTCACCCGACCCCAGAGTGACGCCTGACCCGGCTCCCAGAACCCTCCCAGGGGTCCTGATTCAGTGCAGACAAGTGAGTTGTGGAAGTGTGCGAGCTCTTCGGCTCTTGCCTCAGAGTCGGCAACACCAGTGGCTGTGGGGCCAGGCAGCATGGTGAGCGGGGAACCCACCAGGCAGCTCAGGGGGTGTTGGGTGGGAGGCAGGGAGGGTCTGACCGAGACCCACTCAGGGAGCAAGGGAGTGGGGGCGGCCCTGGACTCTCCTAGCAGTGCTCTAGAGCCGGGCAGTGGGCAGGGGTTGCTTCCCATCATTCACCCCACCTCCCCCCTCTGTGGTGCTGTGCTGGGCTGCCCACGGAGCCGGGGCACTAGGGTCCTCCAAGGCAGTGCACAGGGATCCGTTCCAAGGTCTTGCGCCCGTGCCCCCGCCCCGGGTTCCTGCACCAGGGTCCAAGTCAGCCGAGCCACCCCCCTCTCCCAGGCAGAGCCATGTGAGTGACGTCCACGGATGTCCATGTGGTCCGCCCCAGTGTGGGGCTGCCCCCAGGTTCACACGGAGACACTCCAGGCTCCTGGGGTCAAGTGAGCACTCTCTGGTTCCAGTACGTGCCCCAACGGGTGTGAGACTCACGCTGAGTGTGAGGGTTCACACCCAGGAGGCGCGGGGGGAGGGGTCTGTGGGAAAACACGAAGATGATGACCGCTTTTTCAGAGCTGCTGCCTCCTCCTCCTGGGTGCTCCCCCCCCCCCCCCCCCGCATCCTGTGTCTTAATGGTGGAAGAATTAAGTCGTTCCCATGTTCTGCGTGGCTGCCAGCTGCTGGAGGAACCAAGCCTCCTGCTGCTTTTCCTAACTCAGCATCTGGGGTTTCTGAAGTAACCGAGACGGGCTGCTGATGCCGTGGGTGCTCCCTGCCCGGGGTGACGGCGGGCCTGGGTGTGTGGGCGTGCAGAGGAGGGAGCCTCCCGCTGAGGCCTGTGTGATTAAAGCCGCTCCCAGGCGTATATTTAGAAGTGCTCTGTGTTTGCTTGGCGTTCCCTGTCGGCACATCACCGTCCCGCTGAGCCGATGTTCTTGTGGAAACCGCTGCCCTGACGTGTGCTCCCTCTCCCACCCAGGGCCACTGAGTCCCGGAGTCGCTCCCACTGCTCTGTTCTCAGTCGACCGGGAATCTCTCTGCGCCACTCTGTGGCCTCCTGACACTTAGCGTTTTCCCCAAAGGTCAGATCGCCAAAAGCAGCTGTCCCGACTTCCAGTCAATGTGAGCAGTGAATTATAAAAGAAAACGGAGTTCTTGGCTCCAAGGGGCAGCACAGTGCTCCAAGCACCTTTCTTGCCTCTAGTCATGAGTTCGAATCCCTGGGGCCTGATATGTGCTAGGCATGGTGCCGGCAGCTCTGCTGGCTGGGGTCCCCAGGTACGAGCGATTTCAGATGTGACATCCTCCCAGGAGAGCCCTGAAGCTTCTGGCTGCCACACGCTGGCTGGTCCTGCCGTGGTGCCAGGGCTTACAGATCAATTGCAGTGGGGCTTGGGGCAGACGTGTGACCTCAAGCATGCACGGCTGGCCCCCGGCCATGCAGCCCCAGTCTCATGATTTCCTCCGCTGTAAGGCTGAGTGTCTGTCCTTGCATCTGCTGCCCCCAGCTGGCCGCTGCCCCAGTCCCCTGTGGGGTGTTCATACTGACTCGATTTTGGCGGCCGTGAGCTGAGGCTGGCAGATGCCCCTTGTCAGCCTTTCCCCACACCGGGCCCCTAACTGGAAGGGGGTCCTCGTTTCCACTGTAGAGGCAGAATCCGCTTACACCTCAGCAGCATCAAGCCCTGTACCCTCTCTCCATCCCTGTCACTGAGGTGGGCAGCAATGCTGGACCACCTGGACATCTGCGGCCCTGTGTGGTGTCTGCAGCCCAGTGTGGCCTCTACGGCCCGGTGTGGCGGGGGCCATGAGCGTGGGTTTCTCCCGGGTGCCAGTGCTGTTTCTCAGTCGCTCCTTTTGCTGCAAAGAAACTCTGATTCAATGAGTCCTGTTGGCTGGTCTGGACTTGGCGTGCCCTGCAGCCAGTGTGGGACCCTCCAAGTCCATTCCCACTATCACAGTCTTGGGCCACAGATCTTGAGCTTCCTGTCAGGTCAATTCCGGAGTCTTGTCAGCAAATGGAGTTGTTGTGTGTGATGTCAGGGTCGGTTGGTTGGCTTTGGTTTGGGGGCCACACCCAGTGATGCTCGGGGCTTACTCCTGGCTCGGCACTCAGGAATCACCCCTGGTGGTTGTCGGGGACCATATGGGCTTCTGGGGACTATCCAGGCCCATGCCCTCCCGCTGGCCCACGTGTGTGCTGTTAGCGGTCACGACTCATGTTCTCACCTGTCCGAGTCCAGTTTGCCCAGTAGTGTCTCTCCATCACGTGGTTGTGGCTTCTTGGTCACCAAGGTTTCTGTACACATGTGGTTTTATTTCCATGCGTCTGTTTTAGCTCCAGCTAAGAATTTTGTTTAATTTTGTTTAATTAATTGGTGGGATGGGGGGTTGGGTCACCCCCACAGGTGCTCAGGGCTGACTCCTGGCTCTGTGCTCAGGCATCACTCCTGGCAGGGCTCAGGGGACCATGTGGGGTGCCAAGGATTGAACCAGGGTCAGCTATGTGCTGGGTCAGTGCCCTCTGCGGCCTGTAATGAAGCAGCTGTGTGGTCACTGTCGTTCTATCACACAGTCTGCTGGCCAGTCTCAGGGGCCTCCCCGTCCCTCTCTGCATGGCTTTAGGGCATTTGGGCTTTCACAGTTCCATGTGGATTTGGGGAGTATGGGTGCTACGCCCTGGAACGCCCCGTCAGTATTCTGAGAGGGAAGCTGTCGAATCCGCACATAGCCCTCGGCCAGTCACCTTCAGATGCCCGCTCTCCACCACCTGCCAGGACGGACCATCTTTCCCTCAGCCCCTCTCCAAGCCCCACCATCATGTGGCGAGCACTGGGGCCGAACACTGGGGCCCATCGGGGCCACCACTGGGCGTCGGACTCCAGACCCCCACACAAGGCAGGCTTCATGGGTGTGGCCCTCCCCCTCCCCGTCTGTGTACGCTGACCCTCATGATCCTGGAGGATGTGTCCGAGGGGTCCACAGCAGCTGGATAGCCCCAAAGTCCTCAGCAGTACTTTGGGGGTGACCAGTGGTCGCGCTGAGGTGGTGTCCAGAGCGCAGCAGGCCCCAGGCGCAGGCAGGCAGGAAATGGGCCAGGCAGAGCCAGTAGAATCAGACTCTGTAAGTGCCAAAGCCTCTGAAGAACACACACCCCAAAGCCATCGGCAAAAGTGGGTTCATGGCAACAGCTTGGGGCTCATTGCCTCTGGGGGTGCTAGGGAGGAAGGTCAGACTCACGCCCTGTCCACAGAAAAGGGGAGACGGACAGACGGAAAAGTATTAGGACGGAAATGTTTAATGTTGGACTTTTATGCATACAGAGTCATAGATAGTTCCTGTCTGGTTTTGTTTTTGGGTCACACTGGCAGTTCTCAGGGGTCACTCCCGGCTGGACTTGGGGGAACCATCAGGGCACCAGGCACTGACTCCAAGTTGGCTGTGTGCCGGTGAGCCTCGTGCCCACTGCACTGTCTCCAGGGCCCCAGGATCGCTCATGTCATCAGCCTTTTGGGGTCACCCCAGAGGTGCTACAGGGGGTTTGCAGGGGGGGGCACCCATAGCCCCTCCTTGCAGTGCGTGTGGGCCTTGTTCAGAGCCCCTGTTGCAGGCAGGTTTCTGGCGGGTCCTTCTCGTTTCAGCCCGAGTCGCAGCCTGTCACCCAGGGCAGGCTGGGAGTGTCGCGACTGCGTGCAGAGCCCCTCTATCTATTTTCAGCACAGTCGCCCGTTCTCGGAGTGGTTCTATTTTCAGAGCCAGAATTCCAGCAGTCAGCATGGAGGGAGGCAGCTGAGGGTCTGTCGTGTCTCTTCCCCTGTGCTGTGGGGGTTGGAAGGGGCTGCAGTGACCCGGGTGGGGCTCATTCCAGTGGGTGCCAATGTGCGGGGGTCCTCGGGACGTTTCCCAGCCACAAACATGTCTCCAAGTGCTGGTGCCTTATGTTCAAAGCACGCTGACACCAAGACGAGAAGGCGGATAGTTTCTGGACACTTTGCTGGACAGGAACGGGCCGTGTGTCATTGCAAGGTCGTAAAAGGAGAAAGGCACCACGCAGCTTCCTCACGCCTCTGTTGGGCCGGGGAACCCCAGCATGGACAGGAGCTCGGCGCCGTCAGTGCATCAGGAAGGGGCTAAACAGTGGCCCAGGCACCATGTGGCCTCCTGAGGCCGGCTGGACATGGTCCTGCAGCAGCAGATGGGGCAGTAGGGTTCCAGGTGAGCCCTGAGCCCTCCCCCCACTCCCATGCCAGGTCCCCTGACACCATGAACACGTTGATACAAATGCGCACCACCAGTGGCTCACATGGGGACGTGGTTTGGTGAACAAACTGCTGCTCACCCCACTCAGCTCTGCACAGCTCCGGGGTGGACCCCGCAGGCGACGGGAGGGTGACCCAACCCAGTAGCCCCAGACAGCCACGATTCCTCTGGTGTCCCACATGGCGTGGCCCGGGACCTGGTCTGCATCCCAGTGACCCCAGGGACTGAGAAACACCCAGAGCATGGTGTGTGTTGCATGTATGTAGCCACATGTGGCCGTGGTCTGGGCCGGGCAGACCCATCCTGGCTCAGAGGCGAGTGTGGAGAGGTGGCCCGGGCAGGTCTGTGGGGCCCAGACTGGGACTCAGGCGTAGACTCGGAGATGATGCTTGTGTCTGACCCTCACCTGCACCGGGAGGGGGTCCCACTCCCCACAGCCCTCCCAGGCCCAGTCCTTTCGCAGGCTCAGTGCAGCTCTGCATTTCTGGGTGCGCCCTGGGTGCCCCAGGCTTGACCGGCCAGGACGCTCTCTTCAGTGACCCACTCTGTCCTAAGGGAAATGACATTTCTCACAGGTCCTGTGTGTGAAGCCGTGTGCCAGGCCGTGGGCCCCCCGCCCCCACCTCTCCAGCACAGCGGCGCCCCCCGATGGTGAGTCAGCACTGTGGGATTCTGGGTGGACAGGCTTCCTGCCTCACAGCCCCCCCGGGTCACTCCCTGCCCGCCTCTCATCCACCCCGGCCTCAGTGGCAGGAACAGAACTTTCAGCCCAGGGAGGGGGAGCAGACAGTGTTAGCCTGAGTCACACAGCGGGCCTGCCAGCTCAGGCCGCAGGGGCCAGGTGGAGAGGGCAGGCGACCGGGGCACTTCCTTGTGAATAGCGTTTTCACAGAGAAAAACACTCAGCGTAGTGCGTGTCCTGGCAGAAGTCACCGTGGACTACAGACACGGCCTCCCTGTGGTCACGCTCACACTGCCATCCAGGAGGGAGCGCTGCCGCTTCGTTGTCAAGCCCCTGCTGACCACAGTGGACTCCTTCCTCCGGGACATCCACAGCGAGGACAGAGGGATCCGTGATGCCGCAGTCTTCACCGCAGGTGCAGGCGACTCCTCGGTTTCCCCCACCCGGCTCTGGGTCTCCGGGTCTCCCAAGCTCCCCACTCCCCCTCTAGGATGATCTGTTGGCTGGAAAACGGGCCACATGTGTTTCTTATTCATTTAATGTCTGGAGGCCACACCTGGGGCCCTTGGGGTGCTGTGCAGTCTGTGTGTGTGGGGGGGGGGGGCGAGCCTGGACTCCTGCATGCGAAGCTTCTCTTTAGCCCCCTGAGTCCTCTCAGAGCTGACTCCCAACTCTAAGCTCAGGGCTGACTCCCGGCTTGGTGCTCAGGGCTGACTCCCAGCTCTGTGCTCAGGGATCACTTCCAGCTCTGTACTCAGGGATCACTCTCAGCTCTGTGCTCAGAGATCACTCCCGGCTATGTGCTCAGGGCTCACTCCTGGCTTTGTGCTCATGGATCACTCCTGGCAGTGCTTGGAGGACCATGCAGGATGCCGGGCATAAACCCAGGTCAGCTGTGTGCAAGGCCAATGCCTTCCCCTCTGTACTATCGCTCTGGCCCCCTGGAATACATTTTAATGGAAATTTCAGTCACTGATTTCATACCCTTAGCTGGAAAGAGTTTTCTCTAAGGGGGGGAAAAGTTGAGGTCAGGGAGGGTTTGGGCCTGGCAGTGCTCGGGGCTGTTCCTGGCTGTGTTCGTAGGCAGAACCAGGAATCAAACCAGGAATCAAACAAGGCAAACACCTTGTCCGCTGCACCATTTCTCCTGGCCCTGGAAAGACACTTTCTTGAGGTTAGATCAGTACTTGGCCAAGCACCCAGGGAGCACTGAACGCCACAGCCGAGCCCCCTCAGAGGCCCTATGGCCGGTCTGTCCTGAGCCAAGGGTGCTCAGCACATGAAGCCACTCAGCTGGGGGTCTGCGGGGGCTGCGGCTGATCTGCAGAGAGGCTCCGGGGGCGGGATTCACATTTAATTCGGGCTCCAAAACAGTGTTCCGTGGCTGTCACAGCTTTGCCCTGTGTGTGGGTTGGGCGGTTCCGTGTTCGTGGGAGGCTGATCTTCTCTGCACTGCTGAGAGGGACCCAAACAGCAGATTCTAGGAACAGACCCAGGGGCCATTGCCTCACCGCTTCCTCCAGGAGCCGGAGACAGACGGGGCCCACGTCTCCTCCCGTCCCAGCCTGACCCATCCTGATCCCGCCATGGGCAAATGCTGCCTGCCAGGGTGGCTTACAGCCCTGCCGAGTTTTGCTTTCTTTCTTTTTTGGGGGCCACCCCTAGCGGTGCTCGGGACTACTCCTCAACCAGTGCTCAGGAGGCACATGTGGGGCTGGGGAGCAAACCCACAAGCCGAGTTGCAAACCAGCCCCCTGAGCCCCCGAGGACCAGAGCCAGGCTCAGGGGCCAGAGACTGCACGCTTGGCCTGTGGGCCTCTGGGGAAGTGCTCGGAGTTAGTCTCCTACTCTGTTCTGCGATGTTCCCAGGCACTCGAGATTTCTGTGGGGAATCCTGCACCCTCCCACCCCCCCCCCCCACAGGATGTGCTACTGGGGCTGAGCTCTGTCCAGCCCCTGGGTTCTGGCTTCTCTCCATCCGGGTCGGGCTGAGCTGGAAGCAAAGGGAGTGAGAGAGAAGGATGCCAGCAGGGAGCGGGCAAGCCCGGAAGAGGAGACAAGTGTGTATACAGACATGCGTGTGCAAACATGCTACATGCATGCAAACACGTGCACACATACATGCGTGCAAACACGCTCATACATGTACACACGCGCAAATATGTTCATACATGCTCACATGCATGCAAACACAGTCATACACACTCAGTGTGCATGCAAACACACACATACAGGCAAACATACACACACGTGCGAGTGCAAACATGCTCGTATATGCATATATTCACGCATATGCATGTGGAGATGCACGCTCACATGTTTGCCCCTCCCTCATGCTCACATGCTTGCAGAGTCATGCACCCTCACCTCCTCTCACATGTACGCACATGAGCACACGCACAGCTGCCCCCACTGCTGGTCTGCGGGAGGGCAGCAGCCCCCAATCCAGCCTTCCCCCCACAAAGGGGAGCAGAGATGCCCAGCTCGGCGGGCAAGGACCGGGCTGAGGACAGGAGCCCCCCCCGCCCGCTGGCCTTCCCCAACTGACCTGAGGTCCACCGGCAATGGCCACACTTTGTCCAGGCCCCTTCCATGCCCTCAACAGAGGTGGCGGCTCAGGAAGAGGCCAGCCCCGGGACCCTGAGGACCATGGCCTGTGGGGGACCCAGGTTGCAGCAGGAGCCTGGGTGCCGAGGTGACCTTATGAGGCTGCGCTTCTCTTCCAGACGGCCGTGCTGTCCCCGCGTCCACCTCCATGGGGACTCTGCTCGTCAGCGGCTTCCGGCTCGTCATCGACCAGACACCCTACTATGTGCGCTGCCCCAGGGAAGGTAGGATGCAGCCACAGTCACTGTTCAGCCCATTGCGCAGGGACACACTCAGGAACACTCGGCCATCGGAGTGTGCGAAACCCTCTGTGGGACTCAGGCACCTCTTTTCCTGTCCCCCTGAGCTGCTCTCCCAGGTCTGAGCAGTTCCCTGAGGTGTCCCTGAGCTACTCTCCAGGTCGGACCAGTTCCCTGATGTGAGATGTGCCTCTGTGCACAGACGCTGGTATAAAGGGCCTGGGGGACCCAGGGAAAAGGATTTTTATCATAAACCAAAGCCCCAGGCGGCCTGGGAGAGTGACCATCAGCATTTCTGGCTGGCCATGGATGGGCTGGAGGGACCAGCTGCCTCCTGCTGGCAGAACAGTGCCGGCTTTATCGCCACAGACCTGGAAATGACCAGGCAGTTTTCTGCATTTGAAAAATCAAGGACCAGAAAGATAAAGATAAGATAAAGGCCCTCCCGTTGATCGTCGATTTGCTCGAGCGGGCCCAGTAACGTCGCCATTGGAGACTTTGTTGTTACTGTGTCTGGCATATCGAATACTCTCGGTAGCTTGCCGGACTCTCTGAGAGGGGCGGAGGAATCGAACTCGGGTCGGCCATGTTGGCTGCATGTAAGGCGAACGCCCTACCCGCTGTGCTGACCAGAAAATAAAATATAAAAGTTAGGCTGAAGCGGTAGTACAGTGGGGAGGGCGCCTGCCTTCCACATCCTGGCCCAAGTTCGATCCTGGCACCCATTGGTCCCCCGGGGCATTGCCAGCGGTAACCCCCAAGCATCACCTCATGTGGACCAAAACCAGAAGAAAGATGGAGGCAGTCCTGGCCAGTCGCTGAGTTTTCAGCAGGAGTGAGCACTCAGTCGGGCAAGTGCTCCTCCTTACCTGTGAGAAGACTGAGAAGTGAGAGTCTTCTTATCAATAAGTGTGAGGCTCCCAGATTTACTTGGTCTGCCCCCCATCTTTTAAATCAAATACGTGGCCCCCACCCAGAAATTTGTCCTAAATGAAAAAATAAAGGTTTCCCCAGTTGCACCCGAGATCACTGCTGTCCCCGGTCAGTCGGCTTCACCGACCTAGGAAACTGCTTCAGCTTGTGGTGTGGTCACGGAGCTTTCCAGGCAGTACCTTGCAGTGGCCCGTGACTCTTCTGATGGTTGTTGAATTCACAGTGAATGCTCTGTCACATTTCACATCAGTGCTCTAGACTGTTTCTGCAATGACTCCTGCCATTGTCTGCCATTGACCCTGGGTGACCTTGACCTTCAGAAGGAGTAATGGGTTCCCCCCACCTCACTTCTGGGCAAGATGGTGGAGAATTCTTATTATTACCATCGTAGAAGGTCGACAGCGACCTGCCAGAGACTCCGTGTGGTTCTGGGCTCTCTGAGGTCATTCATTGTGGAATTAGGGTTGGCTTTTGTTTGGAGACCACACCCAGTGGTGCTCAGGAGTGACTCCTGGCCATGCTAGGTGACCCTCTGGGGCGCTGGGAATCTAACTGGGGCCAAGTGCCTCACCTCTTCTTTCTTGCTCCAGCCCTGGTTTCTGTTGTGAAGAAGTAGATCCTGCGGGGCTGGAGAACTAGGTAAGGGTTAAGGGACTGAGCCCCCAGCATCACCTGGTCCCCGAGCATCACAGCCATGACTCAGGGCCCCCGGACAGACACGTCTGGCCCTTGCAGTCTGGCTGACCGAGAATAACTGGTGGAGACCCAGGTCCCTGAGAATCAGACAAGGGGCTAATTGCCATGAGATGTGTCTGTGGGATGCCAGGGCTGCTCCTGGCACAGTGCTCAGGGGACCACGCAGAGCCAGGGCTTGAGCTTGGGCTTCCTGCTTGCCCAGCTTGGGCTCCAGCCTTTGTGCTCTCTCCCAGCCCAACTCTAGCAATCTCATAGATATTTTTTTTCCAAAGAAACAGCTCTCAGTTTTGTTTTCTTCATTGATTTGGCTGACCTTAGTTTCTTGGTACACTGATATTTATTCTTCAGCCTGCCTTGGATTCAATTTGCCATTGTTCTAAATTTCCTAAGGTAGAAATGGACTTATTTTCCGTGTTTCTGTCATATCTATCCAATCCTCCAAACATCCCCCAGAGCACTACTTTAGAGTTGTATCTCACGAATTTGGGTAAGTGGTGTTTTCATATTCCTTTAGTTCAGAGTGCTGATTTTATCGCTGGAAACTTGATCTTTGTTTTGGGGGCCACACCCGGCCGGGGTTTGCTCTCAGCAGATTCAGGCATCCTTTGTGAGATGCCCGGGATTGAACCCGGGTCGGCTGCATACAAGGCAAATGCCCTACCTGCTGTGCTGTCGTTTCGGCTGTGGGAGACCCATCTCTGAGGGGGAATGTGTCCTGTTTTGGGGGGCTCAGTGTCACTGTGGACTGAGTGAGCAGAGAGAGAGGTCTGGCGGGAAGGCAGATGCTAGCAGGAGATGGGCCTCAGGAAGCCGTGAGTTAGGGGTCCGACCGCCTGTATTTGAACCCCATTTCCTTCCCTGAAGTCAGCAGATTTAGTTTTCCACATCCAGGGCATAGGAGAAATGCAGAGCCCCGCTGGGCACACGTTAAAGGAACAAACAGCTCCCGAACCAGAGAGCATGTCCTCTTTCATCAGCCCGTTAACATGGATGGTGACATTGGCCACTGGCTGTGCCTCAGGAACGCGGGGCCCCCCTTTCTGCGTGAGTCCCCGGGGCTGGTCCTGGTGCTCCTTCATCACTGCACAGTGGCTTTGCCTCCGGCCTGGCCGCAGGGCACTGACAGCTGAAGGACAGGTGCCCCAAGGTGACTCCAGTATCCCTCCCCCAAAATGCTGACCTCAATGTCCCCCAAGAAGCGTCCCTGGCCCCCAGTGCAGGCGGCCTGTCTCTCTCTCGGCAGGCGGGGGCGGCCCGCAGGGTGCAGAGCTGGACCACCTCAAATCCATGGTGCACCGGCTTTACACGGCCCTGCACCTGGACGAGCTGCAGAAGAGGAGAGAGCGCCACCTGGTGGAGAGGATCGGCCACCTCACGCGGCAGCTGCAGCCCCTGGAGCAGGTGAGGGGGTCTCTCCCCATTCATGCCCAGGACCAGGGTTTGTGCCGGGGCTTGCCGCACGCCCCTCTCTTTACCGCATGATGCTCAGAGGCTCGGGGCAGGCAGGACACGAGCTGCGGGAGTGTGGAACCACATTTCAGCCCACCCCTTTTTAGAGGCTGTTACTTGGTTCTTTCCAAACTGAATTTCTGGGGCTGGAGCGATAGCACAGTGGAGAGGTCGTTTGCCTGGCACGCGGCCGACCCGGGTTCGATCCCCAGTATCCCATAGGGTCCCCCAAGTACCACCAGGAGTAACCCCTGAGTGCAGAGCCAGGAGGAACCCTTGGAAAAAAAACCGAGTTTCCCTGTGATCCTCTGCCCCTCGTGCTGCATCTTCACAGATTGTCTGGATCCGTGTGTGTGTATGTGTGTGTACGCGTGTGTGTGTATGTGTGTGTGGTTCAAAGGCCACTCTCCCAGGTCTGTGTGTGGTGCAGGTTCCCCCTGAGCGCAGGGACACACGGGGCAGTGCGGCCATCCTAGGGTGACTGTTGGGGAGCGTGGGGGTGTATGTGGGTGCCCAGGAGTCTGGGACAGGGCACTGCAGCGGCGAGAGAGCATTCTGGGGGCTCTGAGACTTTTTTTTTTTTTTGCATTTTGGGTCACACCCAGCATTACTCAGGGGTCAATCCTGGCTCTGCACTCAGGAATCACAGGAATCACTCCTGGCGGTGCTTGGGGGACCCTATGGGATGCCGGGGTCAGCTGCGTACAAGGCAAACACCCTAGCCGCTGTGCTATCGCTCCAGCCCCTAACATAGGATTCTTCCCCCACCTTCAAAACCCAGACTCTGCTGAAATAAACGCAGACCTGCCTGCCTTTGTTGTTGTTGTTGTTGCTGTTGTTGTTGTTGTTGTGGGCCACCGAAGGCACTGCCATCGATCACAGCTGGGCCTCCCATACATTGTTGGCATCACTGTACAGCCTGGCTACGGGAATGGGAGACGGGTTGGGGGGGGCTATGGAGCAGGGCTGGGGGGCTGTGGAGCAGGCCTGGGAGGGCTGTTGGGCAGGGCGGGGGTGGGGGGGGTGCATGAGCCGGCTCTCCTCCTGCCCCAGGTGAGAGCAGGGATCGAGGCACGCGCTGAGGCCGAGGTCAGCCGGCAGCTTTGGGCAGGGCTGGCGCTGCTCTCAGTGCAGGGTGGGGCACTGGCCTGGCTCACCTGGTGGGTCTACTCCTGGGACATCATGGAACCCGTCACCTACTTCCTCGCCATCGCCAACTCCATGGTCTTCTTTGCGTACTTCATCACCACCCGGCAGGTGAGCAGCGGGGGAGGGAACTGGGGGTGCCCGCCCCACCGCCCATCGCTCTGGCCCCCTGTCCCTTTGTTCGGCTGGTAGCTTGTTCCTGGAAGCAGCCGAGGGACCAAGGGACCATTTAGAACCGAGATGGGTGCAACTCACGGATTTCCCTGAGGAGGAACTTGGCCAACTTTGGGTCCTCAGAGCCTCATTTGCAAATAAAATCGACCCGTGTTGTGCCACCCCCAGTTCCGCTTCCTCGCCGTTTGACACTCCCCAGCGAGCCTTTCCCGGAGCCGTTGCCCGCCTGTCAGTGCCTGAGGCGGCAGGTTCTGGAGGCTCGTGCCTCTGCCCTTCACCTGCTCTGAAGGCTCTGTCTCTCCACTTCAGAACTACACATACGCGGCCCTGCGGAGCCGGCAGTTCCTGCACTTCTTCCACAAGCGCTCACAGCGGCAGCGTTTTGACGTGGTACGCTACAACGAGCTGAAGGAAGAGCTCGCCAAGGTACCAAGCCCTGGGTGCTGGCCAGGCGCAGGGACCACCCAGGTCTCCAAGAGAAACTGTCTCAGCAAACACGGGTTTCCAGGGAAAAGCTGGCACAGGTGGGACCGAGGGAGGTGGCCGCCATGGCGAGCCCGGTGCTTGTTGCTTCCCAAAACAAGGCTCCCTTGAACCTGCAGACAGGAGGCCTTTGTCTCTCCCCCTCAGGAGAAACCCCGCCAAAGCCTCCCCTGTGGGGCTCTCTGGGGTGCTTGTCTGGGTTCACTTGGCTAGACCAAGGGGAGACGCACCCGCCAACCCCAGCCTGTGCAGGCTCTGCCAGGCCAAGCATCCCCTTTGTCCAGGTGATGACTATGCAGCACAGAACCAGACTGGATGTTTTCCTTAGTGATTACTGACCCAGAAGTTCTGTTTCAAAAAACAAGCCTGGGGCTGAAGCAATATACACAAGCAATACACACAATACACACAACAATAGCAATACACACAATACACACAACACACAAGCAATACACACAATACACAAGCCTGGGGCTGAAGCAATACATAGCCGGCTCTGGTCAATGCCCGGCATCCCATGTGGCCCCCTGGCCCCCAGCATGATGCAAAGGGAAAGTTCTTTCAACTGACACACTGGCCATTGAGGTACTGAGGGGAGTGGGGGTCAGCCCCAGGAAAGTCTCCTCCAGGCTTGCACTTGGCCAGGCAGCGTTTGCACGTCCTGACTCTTTTGGTTCCCCAATGTAACCCGTTTCTCTCCTTCCTCCACAGGCCGAGGATGCCCTCAGCCACCTGCGCCACTTCCAGAGCCTGCGGAAGCAGCGGCCGTCAGTGGCAAAGGGCTCGGGATCACCCCCGGAGGTGTCCGCTTGACTTCTCCATCGGTCTCTGTTTGTTAATAATAATTTTTAAATGCTTACATAACACACGTTTTCTTAGTTTCACTTGAGGTGTGTGGGTTGTGGCTTTTGGCCAGAGAGAAATCGCGAAGTGGTCAGTGGATTCTGCTGCTTCTGCTGGTGTTCTCCTGAGCACTACTCACTGGAGTCTCAAGCATGTCAAAGTGGAGCAGGGCTGAGGCTGCTCCTAAAGCCGAGAACGAGGACTCGGAGGTTATTATGCCTGGAAACAAGCGTTGGTGCATTTTAACCAACCACTGTGAGCCAAACCCCTCAACTGACCACAGTGTAGGATTAAAGTGCTTGGTTTTCCCCCTCCTCTAAACTTCTAAGTAATAGCTGGTTTCTCATACCCAACTGGAACTGGGTCCGCATTGCTAGTGGGTAGAAGAAAGATCCTTGGCAAAATGGGACCACTGCCCCCACCTATGGTTCTAAAGTGGCAACGCATGAAGGAAGAAGAGAACATACAAACTCCAAACTGTTTCCAAGAGTCATCAGCATTTATAAAAAATTTTATAAAACGGGGATTGTGATTTACTATAAAAAATTGTGATTTACTATAAAAAATCAAGTATTGCAAATGTTCGTCAATCTTAGCCAAAAATAAAAGCCCTTTCACCGTGATTTAAGCTTCTGTACCATACATTTCGCCCTCACGGTATGAATGAGGAATCATTCTGCAGACAGACACGAGAAAAAGAAGCCACGGCCCTCACTGGGGCTTGGGGAGGAAGCACAGCTTCTTGGTGAGCATGGAGGCGAAGCAAGGGATCTGCTTCTTGCCGATGGCACTTGGGTCCCTGCTGACATCCACGCGGCGCTGGGACACCCTCCTGTTAACCAGCGTGAGCAGCTCTGTGAACTCCAGGGCCGTGCCGTACCTTGCCAGCAACTCACACATATCCTGGATGTACCACGAGCCATGCCTGGTATCCCGGTGCGAGAAATACCCTGAAGAGGCAAAGTACAGGGTCATCCTCAGGGAACGGAAAGCTGGCGGGGTTCCCCGAAGATGGTCAGACATGTCCCCGGACTGTTCTCAGGGGGGAGAAGGGGATTCATTCAAGATAGTGGTACTGACTGAGTCTGAACCAGAAAACTGGGAGGGGGGGTCCCTGACTCAGGGCGGGGGGGCAGGACACTGCAGATAGTCTTGAATGGGGGCATGTCATGCAGGGCCCTGCCATCAGCTGCTGTTAAGGAATCTGGGACGGGCACAATTTCAGCAGTGCCCCCATCTGAGACGGCTCCCGGAGACTTGAAAACCAACAGCCCCCCACACTGCTGGCCACAGTGTGCTAACACTTACAGAGACACCACTCAAGAACTGTGGGCTGTGATGACAACCAAAACACGGCATGAGGTCAGCCTTAATCCACTGATGCCCAGGCACAGAAGCATTCATGATCAAAGGGTCCCAAAGGGAGAGAAAAGGGTAGGAACCTCAGAACCCGGAGGACCCCAACAGCAGCATATCCCATAGATGGATCCCAAACCTCCACACTGGCCTGCAGAAAATTAAGACACTTCCAATCAGGAATCCTCACATTTCAATTCTGATAACCTTCCTGGAGAGCGTTTTCTAGGCAGGCCAGAGAAATTCAGGTTTACAGGAAATAATAATCTTAAGTTCAAGTGGGAAAACAAGAAAGCGTCGCTAGTAATGATTAACTTCAACTATACATTTGCCGTTTGTAGAGCTGGCCATGAAGGTCTATAGTAAAACTACAGCAGCCAAGGCCGAAGAGGAAAATGTGGGGAATAAAACTGTGCTTTTCAAATGAGTTCAAAATTGTTTTATGAACCTCATGGCAATTAAAAGTAAAGCAAAACTGGAACCCAATATTACCTATCAGTTGATCGCTTGAGATGTAAATGGACTAACTCAAGAAGTAGCACCCAAAAGGGAACTAGAGAAGAGCAGATGAAAGAAGAAACATGCAGAAATACGGAGAGATGACGGTGACAGTAAGAGCTAAATCTCTGAGAATATAGACTTGGAAAACATTTAGCGAGGCTAGTAGGAAAAAAAGCACAAATCAACAATAAAAGTGAAAGTGAGGTAACCCGATGGCAAAAGATCTACAGGCTGAGAGAGTGAGGAAACAAACCGGAAACCCAAGGCCATCCCAGGGCTCACGTACTGAAGTATTAAGTCAGCCAAGCAATATCAAATGAATGACTGAGGGTCTGCCATGGGGGCAGGCTCGGGAGCAGTTGGGAAAACTGGAGACGAGGGTGGTGGGATTGGGGATGGAACACTGAATGCCTGTAAAAAATCATTATGAACATTATGAATTCTGTAAAGTACAGTGTTTATATAAGGTGTAAGGGGAAATTTTATTTTTAAATACTGTATTACTAATTCAGTGCTCCACACAAGGTATTTTATACTACCAACCTTACCTACATCAGTAAACAGTACATCACTTACACTACAAGTAAATATTACATCAATACTGCATCAAAACACAGGCACCAATGGCCACCCGTGGCTGTGGCCACTCGCCAGGAGAAAGCCTCGTCCTGGTGCCACTCGGGACCCCCACCAGAAGCAGAGCACCCCGCACCTCACACACCTTCAGCCACCGAGTAGCACATGATGAAGTCGGCCCCAGCAGGCAGTGTGTGCACGGATGCTGCGTCCACCTGGGTCTCGTTGCTGTCAAGCAGACGGGTCGAGTCTACATCGTCCATGGGCTGGACAGGCTCATCGTGCTTGTCACCACGACAGGCCTACAACACAGGCAGGAGTGGAGCTGATGGGGCCCAATGACACCGGCGTGGCTCAGAGGGCCCCAGGGTCAGCTGGGGAAGCACACAATACTCCAGCTCAGGGACAGCCTGAGAACCACCACGTGGCCCCGATTGTCCAAGAGGAAAAAGGTGTGAGCACACTCATGCTTCAGCAAATAGAGCCGACGGACAGGCGCCAGGGCTCCAGAATTTCTTTTGAATTATTTAGGATGTTAAACTGGGCCAAGATCTCCCCAGAGGAACCACACGATTACTTGTTGGGATGCAATAAGCAAAGGTTTTGTTGACTAGGTAGAGCTAGGGCCCTCGTCTGGCTCATCCACACAGTGGCAGCCTTCTTGGAATGAGCGGCCCCAGGTCTCAAAAGTGAGGGGTTTTAGACCATAGCATATAACAGGGACTTTCATGGACCACCCAGAGCCGCAGTCTGAGGGCCTTTCCACTACTTGTACTTAGGTGACTGGTTGTAAGTTGGAGTTGCAGATGGGTTGCCTAAGACCTTCTATAAGGTTATCTAGTGGTTACTAAGGGTTATTCTCTACCTGCATCTGATAGGTAACCCTTAGTTGACCTCGCCATGGCTATCTCACTTCGGGGAAATCATGACTCAATTCCAGGTATCTGCGCTCAACTCCAGGAATTCTGGAACCGCAACCCTGGCCTAGCTTCTTCTGGTTCCTTTATGAGCCTGTCATGGTGTTGCCTTTGCTTCTCTATCTCTCAAGCTGGGGTGCTCAGGGGTCTGCTCCAGCCCTCTCAGCTCAAACGAAGAGCAACACATTCTCAGGCTCAACGCATGCCCCGCCCAGTTGTTCCAAAGAGGAACACTCTAGAATGTTCCATTTAGTAAGAGGGAGCTGCAAATGGAGGTAGCTGGTGAGGACCCCAGGCTCGGCTGGTGTCGCACCCTGGATTCCGTGGGGTTAAAGACGAAGTCTCTTTACCAGTTCTTTCTATGATCAGGTGGGATTATGACCAGGGTTCAAATTGCAACTCTCAGTGACAGCACACCAAAGCATCTCAGTGCCTGGAAAGTCGCTCTGGAAACTGTCAGTGCCCTCACAATCTCTCGATGTCTCACCTGAATGATGAAGATCTTGGGCTTGCCCACCAAGCTCTGACACTTGTCGCCCTTGAAGAAATCTGTCAGCGTGGCAATTTCCACCTTAGCATCGTAGGCATAAACGTGATTGCCTTCGCCATGGCTCAGGAAAACACAGAGAAAGCAGTCAGCATCGACATGGCTGGCGGTTGATGCTGACATTCAGAGAGGAGCAAGTGCTTGTTAGCTCTACCTAAAAATCCAGTTGGCACCCCCCCGCCCCCCGGCTTCCCCCAGAACCTCCACAAGTGAATCCTGAGCACAGACCCAGGAGTAAGCCCTGGGCACTGTGGCCAAAAAAAAAAACAAAAAAACAAAAAAAAAAAACTAATAAAAAACTCGGAGTAATGACCAAAACTAAAAGGATCATGGTGATCATACCTCAGGTCCCAGAAATGTCACTGACAATACAATAATGAGAGATCACATTCATTCAAGTGACTTCTATATGGTTAATCTCCATTGAATTAAAAATTAAACTATCGCAGCTATGTCTACATCTGGAAAAAAACAGTACACAAGGGTTTCATGCAGGAGGACTTTTTGGGGAAGCCCTGTTCAAGAACCCAGTGATTTTGGTAATCAAAGCTTTTTTTTTTTGTCATCTGCTGCTTAGAACATTCTGGAGAAACCCTTTTTGTTTTTATTTTGTAAACTTTGGTGAGTGAGAATCCAGGGCAGGGAGCGTAGCCGTCTCCACGGACCAATAAAAGCATTCAAGGGAAGAGACGCAGATCTGAAGGGAGCTTTGTGATGTCTGAATCACAAGAGCCCATGGGCACGGATGCAGGCAGCTGGCCAGCCTGTTGCTAGCCCGTGGCCAGCTGCACTGCTGAGTCTGCTCTATTCAATCAGCGACTCCACTGTGACACAGGAATGAGAGTGTGGCTCCACAGTGCCCATAGAGAGGGAGACACTGGAATGTGGTCAGTTCGAGTCCTCCTGACTTGTGGTCATGAAGCTGCCTCAGCATTCCCGTCTCGAACAGCCAGCCAGCCAGGCATGCGCTGGACCTTAGTTGGTGCAGGGGGCCTGAGCTTTGCAAGGGTCCGTTTCATGGAGAAGAAGCCCACTGCCTGGACCCCAGGTAAGCTGGTGACAGACACGGACCGTCCAGGCCTGTCCTTCCAAGAGGCCAGGCCTGGCTCACACCCCTAGATTGGGGGATGTCCACCTACCATCATGCATTTTGAGCAGTACTTCTTCCGCTCTGAGGTTGTCGTAGCATTTCACCTGGAAACCTAGTTCCAGAAGCCTGGGGAACAACAGAATGGGAAGTTAGGGGCCACTCCAAGTCGTCTCACACCCTGGTTGACGTGAGGGATGGATGCCCACTTACAGGACACACAAACTGACCCTCCAAGTCGTAACTGTAGCACAGTGGTGGGCATTCACTTCCCTTGCATGCCCAGAGGGCCCCCGAGCCCATCAGGAAGACCTGGACACAACTGGACTGCCCCCAAAGCCAGACCAAACAAACTTAACTTTTCTCTCAGGAGAAACAGACACCCACGGACGCTGAGGGTTTTCCCTGCTCACCCCCAACCAATCTTCTGAGAATTTCTCCTGGCTTAAGTGCTGCCCTCACAGTGCAGACACGTTTCTGACAATGTGTTAGAATGTGCATGTGCTGGCACAGGCTAGAATCTTCCTCGGAGTGCTCGCCTGCTTTGTTTCTGTTTTCTTAGGGGCACACCCAGCCAGGTGGTAGAGGGGAACTCCAGCTGGTACAAAATCCATGCGCTGCTCATGGCCAGTATGACAGTCGAGTGGCTAGTACACGACCAGAGTTCAGTCCCATACAACCCACAGAGTCCGCCCACACACCGCCAGTGGTGATTCCTGTGTGCAGAATCAGGAGGACCACCAGGTGTGCCCCATCGCTCCCAAAAAATAACCTCAAACATTCAGTGCTTAATACCAAACATGATCATTCTGCAGATGTGAGTCTGGAGGCCCTGCCACTGAGTCGTGACCACGGGGCGCAGGGATCAGTGCCAGGACCTCCGGGTGAGTGATCAGAGACATGGTACCTGCGACGGAGATTCTCCCGGTCTACACAGGTGCCCACACGGCTTTTCAGACCCAGGTACCAGTGGAACTCCTCGTGGTTGAAGATCAAAGCGATCCCTCGCCTCGTGTGGTTCATTTTGTACTTTTCTTCTGGATCCATCACTTCGCTGTGGACGTTTAAAGAAAATGGTCACTTGGTCCTTAAGGAGCTTCCCGGAGTGGGGACAGACTTGCCCAGGCATTCCAACGCGTTCCCTCAACACGTGCAGAGTTCCAGGCAGGGTGAGGGATCCCCAGGCCCTGAAATCGGCACAGACCAAGTTACTTCGGGAGTCTCTGATCCAGCTGCAGGTCAGACCAGCAGAGCTGATGCTGGAGTCCTGACTCCCACTCCATTCCCTGCATGCCAGTCTCTCCCCCATCTCCAAAATGCCACCCAAAACTCCATCTGAACTCGAGTCCTTATCAACTGGGAGCAGTGTGGAGACCGCAGGGCCATCTGAGCCGCCCTGCGCTAGCTCCAACGCTCACAGCTGACATGCAGCCCGGCTGACCAGGGCAGAGAATCAGGAAAGAACGCGTCTCACCTCCTGTAGTGGGCATCTGTTTCCGTCATGTGCTGTTCCTCACGTATTTGTAAAGAGTCCATCACGGTGGACATGTGACTCTTGCTTACAGCTTAAAAAAAAACGGGGGATAGAGCGGGGGGGTTCCACAGGGTTCCAACTGCCACCTGCTAAGTCCTTTCTTTTGAGGGTAGCGGAAGACCCTGGCTAAGGGCAGGGGAGGGGCCACCTAAGCAGGATGACCAGAGCAGGATGGAAGAGATCCCAGCCCCGCCGTACGCCCCCTCCTCACCCTGCCTCGGTCAGAACCATAAGCGACAACAGAAGAAATGCTGAAGGTATCCTCTGGACAGCCATGATGAGCCCCCATGGGAACCATGACAAGTGACAAGCCCCCAATTCAGAAAACGCCTCAAGGCAGAGGGAGCCCTTCCAAAGACTAGATTTGGGGGCATCCAGTGATATGTTTTGTGAGGGTGAAGTGGAGCCATGACAGACTCCACTTTAAGGCTGAAACTCAGCAGGCCTAAGTCTTGGTTTTCCCCATTAGAAAGTCCCGACTTCTCAGGAAACATTATCACCCTGTGCAGATAGACCACCCCGTGGAAACAGCCTAAACGAGTAGGAGTCATGGGCAGTGGCACCAAGCCAAGCCGAGAGGGCCTAGGCAGAAGAGTCATGGGACCGGACAGGGACCAAGAATTGAATACATAATGCTGGGCCTTGAAGTCACTCGATGGGACAGGGACCAGAATTGGAAACATTGCCAGTTCCGAGAAAAAAAAGACTGGTATGTAACCAAACCCTATATAAGCTGCTTGGAAATCGGAGTTGGGGTCTTTGTCAAGACTCCACAGCATTGGATGAGACTCGGACCCTAGCTCGAGCTAGCAATAAAGGGGCCTTGCATTTGCATCTTCGCGTCTGGTCTGGTCAGTGTGCTAGTGAAACTCCCTTCCTGGCACCTAACAGTCTATGAAAGCCCGCTCTGCTGCCTGTTCCAGTGAAATGACATTCACCAGCTTCACAGCTGGGCAGTGAGAGAAATGAATCAACACTGGAGGGAGAATGAGAAGTGCCTCTGGTTAAAGGTGCCCAAGGGCCATGACCCTTCCTGGCCCCACACCAGACCCTCACTGCCTGCCCTGTAGCTAACATCCTGTTCCTCCCCCAGCCCGGTCCCCTGGTGCCAGTATGCCCCCCACACCTCCTCAAACACGTCTTCCGACTGGCCCCCACACCTGTCCCCAAGGTGACCGTTCCTGCCACTCATGGTGGGCCCTGGGACACAGCATCTCCATACTCATATGGAGATGGGCTACCTGGACACACAGGAAACATTGTGTCCTGGACATTCCACACAACTTGCCAACTGGGGCTCTTCCGGTCCATATAGCTGCTCATCCAAACCAACAACCTACGGCAGCCCAGAGGTTCTCTAACATTCCCTGCCCCGTACACCCCACCCAGCCCAGCCGGCATGCTTCCCTCCACACACAACACATGGCATTGTTTCCTTAGACTCTTTCCCATGGACTCTTTCTTCCCCACCATCATGGGCGTCCCTTCTCCACGGTGCCCCAGGGCTGCCCTCTCATAGTCTCTGACCCGCTCCAGCCTCCTTCCTCACCCATTGCTCTTGGTGATGTCCCTTCCTCTGGTCCCGTGCTTCGTACCCGCACGCTCCCGGGACAGCTTCCTCTCCACACTGCATTGCTTGGTTTTATACTCCACATACTGGGGCCTGCTGCCCTGAAAAGTCTTGCACCACACCCCATTAAGGGCACACCCATGGCTCCAGGCCCAGTGCTAGGAGTAACCGGGATGACAGAGGGGCGGCAGGGCCAACGTGCTGTTCACCAAACTTAGCTGAGTCCTGAGATCCTCCAGATGTGCTCAATGAAACGTGCATCCAAGATTTCAGAGACATTCCCGTGTCACAGCTTTGCTATTTGGGGCAAGTCCAGTGGGGTTTAGTGTTGCCCAGGCTCCCACCTGCCACGAATGTGCCCCTGTCCTGAGCTGTCTCCCGGCCCCTGCTTTCCTGTCTTCAGGAAGGAGCAACTGTTCGTGACAGAGAGTAGTGTGCTCAGGTTATCTCAAATACCAACTTCTGCATTGTTGATGGCACAGAGAGTTGTGCGCTCAGGTTATCTCAAATATCGCCTTCCAAGTCTCTGGCCCACTCAGAGAGAGTCAAGTGGCCCGGTATCAGCACAGAGAGTTATGTGCTCAGGTTATCTCACATACCGCCTTCCACATTGGTAATCAGAATTTCAGATGAGGGTCACTTGCAAGTAACTCCGGATAACTTGATTAAAATGATATTCCAGGGTCCAGAGAGACAGCACAGCAGTAGGGCACTTGCTTTACACCGGCTGACCGAGGTTCAAGCCCAGGCATCGCATATGGTTGCCTGAGCACCCGCAGGAACGATTCCTGAGTGCTGGCCACCAACCCCAGCCTGCGCAGGCTCTGCCAGGCCAAACATCCCCTTTGTCCAGGTGATGACTACGCCACACAGAATCAGACTTGATGTTTTCCTTAGCAATTTCTAACCTAGTAGTTTTGGTTCAAAAAACAAGCCTTACATGCACAGTGCCTGAAAGGTCCAGGGGTCATTATATCTTCAGTTACCTGTGCCTGCCCCTGGACTACCAAGCCCTTCAAGTCACAAACAAAAAATGCTGTAACTGAGGATTTTTTCCCCTTTTTTAAAATCTTGGGGCCAGAACAATATTACAGCATGCAGGGCGTTTCCCTTGCACATAGCTGCCCTGGTTCGATGCCTGGCATCCCATGTGGCCCCCTGGCCCCCAGCAGGAGGCAGAAGGAAATTTCTTCCAGCTGACACACTGTCCAGTGAGGCACCGAAGAAGCAGGGGGTGTAGCCCCAGGAAGACTCCTCCAGGTTATGATTTTGCTCTTCCTGAGCCCTTTGGAGTCCCGGCGTTACCTGCCTCTCTCCTTCCTCGGGAGACCCAGGACGCCCTCACCCACCTGCGCCATTTCCAGCACCTGCGGAAACAGTAGCAGTCAGCGGGGAAAAGCTTGGGATCGCCCCCAGTGGTGTCCACTTGGCTCCTTTGATGGTCTCTGTTTGTTAATAATAACTTTTAAGTGCTTACGTAACACAAGTTTTCTTGGTTTCACTTGAGGTGTGTGGGTTGTGGCTTTTGGCCAGAGAGGAAAGGCAAAGCGGTCAGTGGCTTCTGCTGTTCCTGCTGGTGTCCTGAGTGCAACTCGCTGTACTCTCGAGCATGGCACAGTGGAGCAGAGCTACGGCCACTCCTGAAGCCAAAAATGAGGATTCGGGGGTTATTCTGCCCAGAAACAAGCGTTGGTGCATTTTAACCAAACACTATTGTCAAAATCCCTGAACTGACCACATTGTAGGAATGTGCTTGGTTTATTAACTCCTCTGAACTTTTAAATAATAGCCTACCAAACCGGAAGGGTGTCCTCATTGCATGAAGGCAGGAAAAGATCTTCGGCCGACCGTGACCACTGCCCACAGCTACAGTTCTAAACTGGCAACGCATGAAGGGATAAAAGAAACTACAATGGGCTGGAGCAATAGCACAGCGGGTAAGGCGTTTGCCTTGCACGTGGCCTACCCAGGTTTGATTCCCAGCATCCAATATGGTCCCCTGAGCACCGCCAGGGGTAATTCCTGAGTGCAGAGCCAGGAGGAACCCCTGTGCATCGCCAGGTGTGACCCAAAAAGCCAAAAAAAGAAAGAAAAAACAAACTCAAAACTGTTCCCAAAGTCATAAGCATTTATAAAACCTTTTATAAAATAGGGAGAGTAAGCTTGTGATTTACTATAAAAAATCAAGTATTAAAAATGTTCATCAGTCTTAGCCAAAAACTGCTTTCACTATGACTTAAGATGCTGTGCCATACGTTTGGCCTTCATGGTATGTCAAACCTGAATGAGAAATCATTCTGCAGACAGACACATGAAAATGAAGCCTCAGCCTCACTGGGGCTTGGGGACGAAGTGCAGCTTCTTGGTGAGCATGGAGGCGAAGCAGGGGATCTGTATCTTGCCAATGGCACCCGGGTCCTGCTGACATCCACTCGGCACTGGGACACCCTCCTGTTGACTAGCGTGAGCTCCACGGTGGTGGTGTTCCTCGCCGGCAACTCACACAGATCTTGGATGTACGACAAGCCATGCAGAGAATCCCAGTGCGAGAAACACCCTGAAGAGGCGAAGCACAGGGTCACTGTTGGGGATGGAAAAGCTCGTTGGTTTCCTTGGAGATAGTCAGACATCTCCCCGGACTGTTTTCACAGAGGAGAAGGAGATTCATTCAAGACTGTGGCACTGGTTGTGTCTGGAGCAGAGAGCCAGAAGGGAGAGTCCTGCCTCATGGTGGGGCACAGGAAACTGTAGGAATGTAAGCCAGCTCCCTGCCATCAGCTGCTGTTAAAGAATCTGGAATGGGCACCATTTTAGCCATGCCCCCATCTGAAACAGCCCTCGGAGACTTGAAAACCAACAGCCCACAACACTGCTGGCCACAGGGTGATAACTCTTACAGAGATACCACCCAAGAATTGATCAGGTTGTAAAGACCAAAATAAGGGGCGATGTGTCGCTTAATCCACTGATGCCCAGGCACAGAAGCATTCACACTCAAGGGGTCCTAAAGGAAGAAAAAGGGGTAGGAACCTCAGAACCCAGAGGACCGTGATAGCAACATGTCCCATACACAGATCTGAAACCTCCATGCTGGCCGGGGGAAATTAAGATGCTTCCAATCAGGAATCCTCACATTTCAATTCTGATAACCTTCCTGGAGATTGTTTTCTGGCAGACCAGAGGCATTCAGGGCATTCAGTTTTACAGGAAATAATAATCTTAAGTTCAAGTGGGAAAACAGAAAATGTTGCTTGTAATGAGTAACTTCAACTATACGTTTGCCATTTGTAGAGCTGGTCGTGAAAGTTGATAGTAAAACTACAGCAGCCAAGGCCAAAGAGAAAAATGTGGGGAGTAAAACTCTGCTTTTCAAATGAGTTCAAAATTGTTTTATGAACATCA